TCGGCTCCCTTGCCGCAGACCCGTTCGCGGGCAGCACCGTCGAATTCTGGTTCAATGAAACTTATTCCCCTTTGCTCGACCCCTCTCGCTATATAGCCTACCCTCCTCTGCCCTTTGGCGCTCGCCACAACCCCCAAGTACATTAGAATCGTCCAATCGCCGGATCTGGACACCTTTCGGTTTCACCGGTGATTGCGTTTCGTGACAGCGCGACGCCGGTACTTTATGGGGGTGGAAATAGAAATCCATGGGGGGAAGATGCAATCGGAGATGGAATAAAAACGATCGATTCGACGAACGATGCTACTGCAGTTCACGGACTTATCGACGGAAGCGAATCCATGGTGGCGCTGTGAGTCAGAGGGTTCTGTGGATAAATAGGAACTCTTGTGGTCGTTTCTTCGAAACACGCGCCACAAGATGACCTCTGGATACCAAAAAGTCACTGCGATGGCGCATTTTTTACACGTTTAATTATACAAAATAATTACAGCAGTTAGATCAGAAAACATGGAATGTAGACTTGTACTAGAAGTCAACTTGGGCGCACTTACCATGATTTTCATGAGGATGAGGGTTGACGCTTCTTTTTGAGAATGTGGTAGAAAGAGTTCGATCATTTAGATGGACTATTGGTAGAGTAAGTATACTAGATGGTAACAAGGAGTTAGATTACAGGGATGTAATAGATTGCTAGGACGCTGATAAAGCAGAAGGGGTAGTTCATAGACTGCAAGTTGTAGAATAGTAAGTCTGAATGTTAACACTTTTTGACTAGTTTAGGTACTTGGAGCATGTCACTAATTCTGTGTAATCAAGACTACTGGTAACCTACTGTCGTATCAGTGTAATAACACTAGTGTGGACTAGTGTATACAGTGTATACATGACATAATTTGTTAGTGTGACCTGATCATCAGTATAATTGCACAACTACTAATGTATCAGTACTAGTGTATGCTACCTATGTGACCACAATTATAATTCTATTCATCTTCCAGAACTATATCAATTAGTGTACTCTATCAGTGTGAGGTCTATCAATAACCTCCCTTAATTATACCCCAGTACCAAGTATTGGTATACTCTATCATAGTCAAACTATAACCTTCTTCAGTATATGTGTAACGACCCTGGAACCTAAGTTCAGTTTGTCCCAGGGCTAATATACTGAATCTAGCCATAAACATGTCATCAGTGTGACCTAACCTTAAAGTAAATTTATCAATAATCTTGCTCCAGTATTTCAAGTACCAATAACTCTTCATAACCAGTCCAATATACCAGAACTATGTGGCAATAAACCTCTGCCAATAACCCATCAATTCCAATATACAGCACAGTATCAATGCACCAGAACGTACCTCATAAACATCAATAACTATATAAATAATTGAATAAACTCTTATAACATGTATAAAGAAATATAAACTACATATAAAGCAGAAAAGGATGTGGATGCAAAGATAATGGGACGTGTCCTATGGTACAGAAAATAGGGATTTCGATTTTGCCACTTGCTTCTACGTTTTCAGCATTTTATTACAAGAATATAGTATAAACTTTCGCTCGATAGTGTGTACGTGTATATACGTATGCATGTGGATGTAAACATGTATCTGTATTCATGTAGATATGTATGTGTGACTCGGGTGTGTAGCGTGGTTCCATCACGCATGAATCTTGTTCATTATGTTTTTTTTTTTATACATATAGAATCTCGCGTCGCTCTTTACCGCCATTCATTTATATCTCCCGAAACCCACCCCCTCGGTAGCAACACCGACGACCCCCATTGGACGCAGGCCACGATAGTCATAGCTTTCTTCGATAGTTGATCGATATACGTATAATAATATATCTTGCGTTTAATCTTACGTTTACCTTATCTCCGCTAAATTGTTACTCTATATATATGTATATATATAGGTATATCTTCTGTGTCTGTTGTATGTCTGTGTCTGGGTCATTTTTGTTCACGTTACTGGAAACATACTTGGCAAATTCACGTCTAATAGTTACAACGAAGCATTTTTTATCTTTCTTCTTCTGGTATTTTTTTTTACCTGTCTCTTGTCATTCACTCACGGTCTCGCACACATTCTCTCAAAGACGCACGCCGCGATCAGCACGATCGAATCGATCATATTATCATTTTTTTTTTTTCATCTTTTAATTGATATGTCAGTGGGTTCCTATCCTCTTAACAGCGTAGTTCCAGCTCGTCCCAGGGAAAGCGTAGTTAACTGCGAATCGTCCCCGTCGCTCGTCACGGGGTTATTTCCAGCTATTGGCTGAAACACACAGTCAGATATCAGTTTCTTTATTCTTAATATTCTACTATTCGGAGAACGGGTCAAGTCCACGAATACGGAAGAAAATGGAACGCTCATGAATTTTATAATCGGACACTTAATTTTGGTACGGTTAACCCCCTTTTGAATGAAATTTCCGAATTTTTGGAAAACATATCAAATGAAGTTTTGTATATTGCAGATTTATTTAGAAGAAAATCTTTCAACTTATAATATTATAAGATTTCAATAAAATTAAAATTAAGATGCTTATTAAAATCTAATGTGTATTTTCTTATAATATTACGAATAATATGTTCTCTCCCTATATTGTAATTTCCAGTGCGTGACCATAAAATGCATGGCAACACAAAAAAATGATAAATAATGAAACAGGTACTGAATACAATCTTCTCTGACAAAAATTTATCCGTTATAACATCCTCTCCCTATATTGCAATTTCCAGTGCGTGACCGTAGAATGCAAAGCAACTCAAAAAATGATAAATAATGAAACAGATATTGAATACAATCTTCTCTGACAATGATTTATCCGTTATGACATCCTCTCGCTATATTGCAATTTCCAGTGCATGACCATAAAATGCATAACAACGCAAAAAATGATAAACAGTCAAAATAGATATTAAATCTAATCTTCGCTGACAAAAATTTATCCATTATAGTATCCTCTCCATATATTGCAATTTCCAGTGCATGACCATAGAACGTATAACAACACAAAAAATGATAAATAATGAAATAGGTACTGAATACAATCTTCTCTGACAAAGATTTATCCATTATAATATCCTCTCGCTATATTGCAATTTCCATTGCATGACCATAAAATGCATAACAACGCAAAAAATGATAAACAATCAAAATATATATTAAATCTAATCTTCTCTGACAAAAATTTATCCATTACAGTATCCTCTCCCTATATTGCAATTTCCAGTGCGTAACCATAGAATGCAAAGCAACTCAAAAAGTGCTAAATAATGAAACAAATATTGAATACAATCTTCTCTGACAAAAATTTATCCTTTATAACATCCTCTCGCTATATTGCAATTTTCATTGCATGACCATAAAATGCATGACAACGCAAAAAATGATAAACAATCAAAATATATATTAAATCTAATCTTTGACAAAAATTTATCCATTATAGTATCCTCTCCCTATATTGCAATTTCCAGTGCGTGACCATAGAACGCCTACCAACTCAATGATAAATAATAAAATAGATATTGAATACAATCTTCTCTGACAAATTATCCATTTAAATACCCTCTCCCTATATCGCCGGTCTAAAAGTACCAAGTCTATATTACACACCCGCACTAAATCATTATCGCACTCCAATACCATGTGATTATTCCCGTTAACCATCAGCCTTACCCTTTAATCAACCCCTATCGCAAAATCAGCACAAGCCGTTCAATTTATCACCAACCTGAATCTACGCGTCTAAAGTGAACGATAAAAAACAGCAAACATTTAGAGACAACAAAATGGTAAAATGAACGTATCAGTGTGGACTTTTCCCGTTTCGGAAAGCAGCCTTTCATACCTTTGTAATATATGTCCCTATTCATCGTCGGGCAGTTCTTCGGTCCCTAAAGAGCAAGAAGTTCGACACAATTAGTTCTGATTGTACGGTTCAAAGCTCACGTTCTCTGTCTCTCACTTTATGGCAGCTCTTTTATGCCCGTTTCTATCTCACTGCATTTATGTATGCCATTGCGTACCTGAACATTAAAGTCGATGTTCGTTCGAACGGGACGATGATGAAGAGGCTGCGGGGGTCTGAAATTATTCCCAAGCGGCGAGTTCGGATGCTCCTTGTCCCCTTGCATCAATTGTCGCAGGGCGAGAAGCTGAAATGATAAACAACGGAACGATCGAGGTGAATGCGACACACTTTTTTGTTATTTCACCGCAATTTTAGCGCTTTCAATTGGTGCGGGGCAAATTGTGGGTTGATTCGGGCGTTGTTGAGCACTCGACAATGGGGTGAATCGCTATATAGATTTTTTAGAGATTCGTTTTGGAGTTTTGGGAAGTGAGAGAAAATTTTTACATATTTTTAAATTGGTGAAGTTTCCAGTTTTATTTTATTAATTACTTAAATTAAATTTCTTAAAAGGTAAGAAGCTAGATTAAAAATCTAGTGACCGTATGTAACGCCCTAGAAATTTCACAATCCCACTATAATGTTTAAAAGAATGTTAAAATTGATAAATAAATAAACATCGAATCACGATAACGGACATCATCGAGTGAATAAAACGACATCAATCAAACCAGTGTTAAATAGAAATTTTGCAAACGTTGTTCAGTGTCGAGAAAAAAAGGAGCAATCAATTTCCGCGCGAGGTTTCACGCGTGCCGACAAAAACACAACACGGGACATTGTATCAAAAAAAAAGTTTAACCCGGAAAATTTATCGGAGCGATCTCGATGAAGCTCAGGTCGATGATTTCTGGTCGAGTATCTGGGGACGAAAAAACCGGGGGTGGTTGAACGGTCAGGATGCATTTTTAATAAATTTATCGAGCGAGGCAACGGTGGCGTGCGAGGAATTATACTTGCTAAAGCGGAGAATCCGTGGCTAGTATTTTTCGGGACAAACTAGCCTGAACGACATCAAAGGGATGCAAAATAAGCGAACACACAATGTGTTGTTCGTTACCTCGGGAAAAGGGGGACGGGAGAAAAAAAAAATCCGCGAGGGAAACCACGATGCTGCGGCGCGACGCGTGTATCGAATATTTTAAAGCTTATCGCGCCCTGTTTAAAGTGAAAACACACCCCCGGCGATCCATATTTATAGACGATTTTCTTCCGACTGCAATCTTCGTGGGAGAGAAACTTTTTCGTTTCCACGTATTTCATGGGGAGACACGTTTCTTATTGGGTAATATCGGAATTTGCGTATCAGGGATGTAGAAGTGTTTTTTATGGGCAAGATGTGGTGGCAATTTGGGGATATAGGGAATTCGGAAATGGATGAATTGGGGTGGAAGGGTGAGGAATTTGGGGTGGAGAAGTTGGGAATTTTAATTTTTGGGGTGGAGACGTTGGGGAGTTTTTACTTTGGGGAGATAGAAATTGGGGAATGTTGATTTTAGGGGTGTAGGATCGGGGAATTTTTAATTTGGGGGTGTGGAGAATGGGGAATAGTAATTCTGGCGGTGTAGAAATTGGAGTGTAATAATTTTGGGGGTGTAGAAATTGGGTAATTTTTATTTTGGGGTTGTAGAAATTAGGGAATTTTAATTTTGGGGGTGTAGAAGTTGAAGAATTTTTAATTTGGGGAGGTAGACATTGGGGAATATTAATATAAGCCCTAGTTCCATATAGCCTTAGTTCCAAATAGCTCTAGTTCCAAATATTCCTAGTTCCAAGTATCCCTAGTTCCAAGTATCCCTAGTTCCAAACACCACTAGTTCTAAATATCCCTAGTTTCATATAGCTTCAGTTCCAAATAGCTCTAGTTCCAAATATTCCTAGTTGCAAATATTCCTAGTTCCAAACACCACTAGTTCTAAATATCCCTAGTTCCATATAGCCTTAGTTCCAAATAGCTCTAATTCCAAATATTCCTAGTTGCAAATATTCCTAGTTCCAAGTATCCCTAGTTCTAAATATCCCTAGTTTCATATAGCTTCAGTTCCAAATAGCTCTAGTTCCAAATATTCCTAGTTGCAAATATTCCTAGTTCCAAACACCACTAGTTCTAAATATCCCTAGTTTCATATAGCTTCAGTTCCAAATAGCTCTAGTTCCAAATATTCCTAGTTGCAAATATTCCTAGTTCCAAACACCACTAGTTCTAAATATCCCTAGTTCCATATAGCTTTAGTTCCAAATAGCTCTAGCTTCAAATATTCCTAGTTGCAAATATTCCTAGTTCCAAGTATCCCTAGTTCCAAACACCACTAGTTCCAAACACCACTATTTCTAAATATCCCTAGTTCCATATAGCTTTAGTTCCAAATAGCGCTAGTTTCAAATATTCCTAGTTGCAAATATTCCTAGTTCCAGGTATCCCTAGTTCCAAGTATTCCTATTTCCAAACACCACTAGTTCTAAATATCCCTAGTTCCATATAGCCTCAGTTCCAAAACTCTCTAAATCCAAAAATTCCTACTTCCAAATATCCTCAGTTCCAAAACTCCCTAGATCCAAAAATCCCTAGTTCCAAAATATCCCCAGTTCCAAAATACCCTTAGACCAAAAATATCCCCAGATATCAATATCCCAATATCCCTAGATCCCAATTTCCCTGGATCCCAATATCCTTAGATCCAAATATACCTAGTTATAAAAGTCCCTAGATTCCACTTTCCCTACCCTTCAATGTACTATCCCTAGATCTCTATTCCTAGATATCTATAACTCTACACTCCTATATCCGTGAATATTTATATCCCTAGATCCCCATATCCCTATACACAAGTAATCTTACTTTTATTCTACGCAATTATTGTTAATCACAGTTGCTAGTAAAAATTTGAGCATATCGAGGTCACCTACATAAATTCGAAAGTTTTCATACATGGAAATATTTTTCACGAACAATTTAGCGAATTGCGATGTCGTAGGTTAGCGATATATTTGCAGCGGAGCGATTCTGTCTGGTTTCGAGTACCTACACAGCGCGGCAATATGAAATTTTTACGATCTGACAGAAAAATAACGCGAACGAGAATGCAAAAATAATTGACCGGCAGTGTAAACGATTTTTTGAACGATGCACCGGCTGTCGTTTGCCGTGTCTCTGCGATCCATCGTACGCGGAAATGACGCGACTGCAATCTCAATTGCATCTCGAGCATGATTTTTCAAAACGTTTCAGTCGACTGGACGGATGGCATTTTCATTCGAGGCATAATGGATATCTGGCAGCGGATCAATCAGCCAAATGGATCGTTTACATGCGTCCGATTTCCGGCACGCTCGAAAATCAAAAAATCCGAACAGTCGTCCGTTTGTCCCGGCTCGTCGCGTATTTACGACTAGCCTTCCTGTTTTAATATTACTCCGAACGGAGTAGAAAGGACGCGCTTTATCGCCGGGAAAATACCGAGACTTATCGAGCGAAAAAGTTGAAATTACTATATTAATCAAAATTTCAATATTTCTAGATTAGAATATCTCTAGTTTCCAAATTCCCTAGTTATCAAATTTCCTAGTTCCCAAATTCTCTAGTTCTCAAATTCCCAAGTACCCAAATTCCAAATTCCCTAAATTCCGAATTTCTTAAATTCCAGATTCCCCAAATTTCAAATTCCCCAATTTTCAAATTCCCCAAATTTCAAATTCCCCAATTACCAAATTCCCCAAATTCCAAATTTCCCAAATTCCAAATTTCCCAAATTCCAAATTTCCCAAATTCCAAATTTCCCAAATTCCAAATTTCCCAAATTCCAAATTTCCCAAATTCCAAATTTCCCAAATTCCAAATTTCCCAAATTCCAAATTTCCCAAATTCCAAATTTCCCAAATTCCAAATTTCCCAAATTCCAAATTTCCCAAATTCCAAATTTCCCAAATTCCAAATTCCCCAAATTCCAAATTCCCCAAATTCCCATCTCCCCAAATTCCAAATTCCCTAGATTCCAAATTTCTGAGATCCCAAGTTCGTTAGTTCCCAAATTCCTCAAATTCCAAATTCCCCAAATTCCAAATTCCCCAAATTCCAAATTCCCCAAATTCCCCAAATTTAAAATTTCCTAAATTCCAAATTCCCCAAATTTAAAATTTCCCAAATTCCAAATTCCCTAGATTCCAAACTTCTTAGATCCCAAATTCCCTAGTTCCCAAATTCCAGAAATTCCAAATTTCCCAGATTCCAAATTCCCTAGGTTCCAAATTTCTCAGATCCCAAGTTCCCTAGATCCCAAATTCCCTAGTTCCAAAATTTCCTTGTTCCAAAATTCCCTAGATCCCAAATTCCCTAGTTCCCAGGATCCCAAACTCCCTAGTTCCCAAATTCTTTAGTTCCCAAATTCCCTAGTTCCCAAATTCTGTAGTTCCCAAGATCCCAAACTCCCTAGTTCCCAAGTCCCCTAAATCCCAAATTCCCTAGTTCTTAAATTCCCTACTTCCCAAATTCCTAGTTCCAAAATTCCCTAAATCCCAAATTCCTACTTACAAAATATCCCTAGTTCCATATTTCCCCTAGATCAGCCTTCCTATTTTAATATTACTCCGAACAGAGTAGAAAGGACGCGCTTTATCGCCGGGAAAATACCGAGACTTATCGAGCGAGAAAGTCTATCTAGAAATATCGAATTAGACCGGGAATATTTTTGTCGTTCAATGGCTCGACGGGTTTAAATTTTTTATCGGGAGAATCAAATGTCATTTATATTTTTTAGGTGCATTCGGTTTCAGTTGTGGATCTTGTTACTGGCTTGGATATTTTGATTAATCTTTCTGGATTTCATTAAGAAGATCTGAAGCTTGATCTGGTTAGCAAACTTCAGGTATTTATACAATTATTGATATTTATTATGGATTTTATAAATGACAACTGCATAAAGAAGTTATTTTGAAGTAAATTTTAAAAATTATTGTGGACTTCATAAAAGTGTTGACATACACATATGGAGGATTTCATATATGACACAAGTGGAAATGTATAAAGAAGTTATTTTGAAGTGAATTGTAAGAAAAAATAATGAGAGTCAGTGCACGTAGAAAGCGTTGAATTTACGATCGCAAAGGGAGTAGTTAGCCGATTAAACCGACTGCATAAGACTATCTGGCGAATATCAATATTATCCAATCCATTGAATCAATTAGCCAAGAGGGAAGCCGATCGTTATTTCATTAGCCGCCGATGTAATTTGCCGAAGCGGCGCGATCGAGTAACGAAAGGAGAGAGAGAAAAAACGCATTAAGACATCAGGGTACGTGATCCCGTGACGATAAAGAACCCACGTAAACCAATTTCCTTCGTGGCCGTGCGTGCCGGCGAGATTCCGACTCTACGGTGGCCACGCGAAATCGTTAAAAGAACATCAGAAAGTACTTTCGTGCGTGAGCAACCGCGATTCTACGAGTCCAGATACGATTCTCGTTAGTAACGTTTCAACGAAAACCGAATAAAACTTCTGCTAGTATGAAGGACTCGATATCGCGGCCATGACAGATGCAGCCATTTTCCTAATCGAACTTTAACTTTCTCTGCACTGACAACTTTTTTATTAAATTTCACTTTGTAATTCATGTAATTGGGACCAATTAGTACTCATCAACATAGTTTCGAGTTTCACGTGTATTAGGAAATTTTAGTTGGGGTTCTGACAAAATTTCTGTCATATTTTATGGAAATCAAGAATTGCTGGTTAGTTCACATTTTTACTGGATGAGTAGTATACGTATTCAATCAATATGTTCATTTATTAGATCTAATAATAAGAGTCATGTGATGTCCAGCCACATATGAGTGCTAAGGGTGCACCCCTTGATATGATTTGCCATATATGTATTGTCATATGTGTTTGTCATATTTGTCATATGTCATATGTTGTCACACATGTATATATTTTTCATATGTTATATATTGTCACATATGTATATAAATGTCATGTATTGTCATATGTGTTTGCCATATATATTTGTCATATATCATATGTTGTCACATATGTATATATTTTTCATGTATTGACATATGTGTTTGTCATATATATTTGTCATATGTCATATGTTGTCACATATGTATATATTTATCATATGTTATATATTGTTACACATGTATATAATTGTCATGTATTGTCATATGTGCTTGTCATATATATTTGTCATATGTCATGTGTTGTCACATATGTATATATTTTTCATATGTTATATATTGTCACACATGTATATATTTTTCATGTATTGACATATGTGTTTGTCATATTTGTCATATATCATGTATTATCACATATGTATATAATTTTCATATGTTATATATTGTCACACATGTATACAAATGTAATGTATTGTCATATGTGTTTGTCATATATATTTGTCATATGTCATGTGTTGTCACATATGTATATATTTATCATATGTTATATATTGTTACACATGTATATAATTGTCATGTATTGTCATATGTGCTTGTCATATATATTTGTCATATGTCATGTGTTGTCACATATGTATATATTTTTCATATGTTATATATTGTCACATATGTATATAAATGTCATGTATTGTCATATGTGTTTGTCATATATATTTGTCATATGTCATGTGTTGTCACATATGTATATATTTGTCATATGTTATTTATTGTCACACATGTATGTATTTGTCATGTATTGTCATATGTCTTTGTTATATTTGTCAAATATCATGTATTGTCACATATGTACATATTTGTCATGTATTGTCATATGTGTTTGTCATATTTGTCATATATCATGTATTGTCACATATGTATATAATTTTCATATGTTATATATTGTCACACATGTATATATTTGTCATGTATTGTCATATGTGTTTGTCATATTTGTCATATGTCATGTATTGTCACATATGTATATATTTTTCATATGTTATATATTGTCACACATGTATATATTTTTCATGTATTGACATATGTGTTTGTCATATTTGTCATATATCATGTATTATCACATATGTATATAATTTTCATATGTTATATATTGTCACACATGTATATACTTGTCATGCGTTATCATATGTGTTTGTCATATTTGTTATATGTCACATATTGTCACACATGTACATATTTGTCATGTATTGTCATACATTGTCACACATGTATATATTTGTCGTATGATCATTTCAACCCCAATAATTTGTCAGGTGCATGAGAGAGCTAATATTGAAACAAGGTTCATTCAACAGCCTCACACCTACACTACTAATATTAAATCAGGGAATTCAACTTGAAGTGTTCCGTCCATTCAATATTCACTAACCCTTGACAATACAAACTGCAATTGTACTTAAACTCTAAAGAACATAAACTCTGAAGAACATTAAACATTCCAATATGATGTATCACAATCGTACAAGTGCATCAGTCATACGAGTGCGTCACAAGACTCCTAGAAATATCGCAAGGGGTTGAAAGTGAGGGTCGAAAGAATAGCAGTCCAAGTGGAATAGGATTAGGTGGAATAGTAAGAAGCATCGATTTCTCACCTGCTGCTTGGTGATGTATATCGGCTTATTCAGGATGATCCACGTGGTGGTCTCGTGGCAGGCCGGCATCGTTGTGGAGCCGTCGTACGTCATGTAATATTTCGTGTCCGGCAAGAGTTGCCGCACCGTGAAGTGCTTAATCTCCATCGCTTGGCCTGCGTGCAAATCGGTTCGATCGATAACGTTTTAGATCCGACACGAGCACCGTCACGCGCATACGTACCCCAATTAACCTCCACGGTTCTGTGCACTATGCACATGCCTTATATCTACACCCCTTTCTGTGCGCAACGATGCCTTTCTCGCAGATTTTTAGCATTTTATGCGTTTGGAGCGTTTCGGGGGATTTTGAGAATTTGGAGATTTAGGGATTTTGGGAATTTGTGAATTTGGCAAGTTTGAGAATTTGGGGAATTTAGGAATTTGGAGATTTGGGGGATTTGGGAAGTTTGAGAATTTGGAGATTTAGGAATCTGGGCAATTTGAGAATTTGGAGATTTGGGGAATTTGGGAAATTTGAGAATTTGGAGGTTTAGGGATCTGGGGAATTTGAGAATTTACTGCTTGAGGAATTGGCGAGTGGGTGATTGGGATTTTGGAATTTGGGGATTTAGGGATTTTGGGAATTTGAGAATTTGGAGATTAGGGAATTTGGATATTTGAGAGTTTGGGGAATTTGAGGATTTGCTGTTTGAGGAATTGGGGAGTGGGTGATTGGGATTTTGGAATTTGGAGATTTAGGGATTTTGGGAATTTGAGAATTTGGAGATTAGGGAATTTGGGAAATTTGAGAATTTGGATATTTGAGAATATGGGGTATTTGAGAATTTTCTGTCTGAGGAATTGAACACCGAGAAATTGGGGTTTTTGAGAATTTGGAGATTTAGGGATTGGAGAATTTGCGAATTTTGCTATTTAGGGATTTGGGGAATTTACGAATTTGGCTATTTAGGGATTTGAGGAATTTGAGAATTTGGCTATTTAGGAATTTTAGGAGTTTGAAATTTGTATAATTGAATATTGTTAATTTGAGAATGTGGGAATTGTGAAATTTTGGTGTCCAGGAATTTACCAAGCAGGGACTTAAAGAACGTAAAAATTGAACAAGTGTAAAACTAAAGGAGTCCAAAAATTTGGAAATTGAAAGACTCGAAAACTCAAAAGCCATAAAACTCAAAAGTTCAAAAACCAGAAAAATTTGCCCCTCCAAAAGAAGTCATCATTGCACACGAGTGTACACGTAAAGCTCCACACGCGCATAGTCACTCCACATTCTCCACAAAAGAATCCACTATTGAAATCAAACATTTCTAAACAGAGACGAGACACTCTCCCATTCATAATTACGCTTTAATTAACCGATGTAATTAGCAGACGTATTCATCCCCAAAAAAGTGTCACCCTTTCATTCCCTCGCTCTGTAGTTACTCTCTTTGAAACCCTTTCTCGGCAATTGAAACCAGTTACTTGTAATTAATTTCAGTTCGTATAGAAACAGTGGTATTCGAAACGACAACTTAAGACTTGCGATTAAACACGTTTGTTCAAAGAACGATTTCAATTTAAATTTCATTCGGGGGTTGAATTTAATATCTTGAAATCCTTTGATTTATCAACGTCCAATTTCGTTTTCAAAAACTATTACTCATTTGCTGTTTCCCTTGTCTGTTTACTGCTTTTGGAATATTTAATATTTTATTATATATTTCTTTGTTAACTTATTTTTATTAATAGGCAATTTTCTTGTTTTATTGACTATTTTATTTGGTAATTTTAGTATTCTATTTATGTGTTATTTTTTATAGATTTTAATGGATGTTTCATTATCTACTTTTTTATCTTCACTATTGTTTTTAATTAGTGTCCCTGTTATTCTACCCTCTATTTCAATTAATATTACTTTGCTATTTGAACTATTTTACTATTTTACTATTTTAACTGATATCTTTATTCTATTATTTCTGTGTTAACTAAAGTAAATTCTACTACCCTATTTAATTAATAATTTTGTCACTTTATTTTCCTTGTACTATCTCATATGGTATATGATTTTTCTGTAGTAAAAGGGGTGGCTCACCTCCGTATCTGATCTTATCCAGCTGCTCAGTGAATATTCGTAGCTCGGGGTTCGATTGATCTCCAACCTGAAAGGCAACCAGGTGTATCTCTTACTGTGATCGCTCCCGTCGATTCGATCTTTTTCACCGTATCGAGAGACTAGTCATGTACCTGTAGAAGCAGGGACACTGCCACGATCCCCTGCGCTCTGTGCAACGCATCCGAGAAATTGTTGTACAGCTGCGAGTTGAACCCGAATATCTGCAACTGTAACAAAATCATTTCACCATTAATTTATTAAAATCCATAAAAATTGTCACTGTCAAAGTTTATTAAAATTGTCACTGTCAATAATTTATTAAAATTGTCACTGTCAAAAATTTATTTAAATTGTCACTGTCAAAAATTTATTAAAGTTGTGACTGTTATAATTTTTTAAAATTGTCACTGTCAAAATTTATTAAAATTGTCACTGTTAAAAATTTATTAAAATTGTCACGTTCAAAATTTATTAAAATTGTCATTGTTAAAAATTTATTAAAATTGTCACTGTCAAAAATTTATTAAAATTGTCACTGTCAAAAATTTGTTCAAATTGTCACAGTTAAAAATTTATTAAAATTGTCACTGTCAAAAATTTAATAAAATTGTCACTGTCAAAAATTTATTAAAATTGTCACTGTTAAAAATTTATTAAAATTGTCATGTTCAAAATTTATTAAAATTGTCATTGTTAAAAATTTATTAAAATTGTCACTGTCAAAAATTTATTAAAATTGTCACTGTCAAAAATTTATTAAAATTGTCACTGTTATAATTTTTTAAAATTGTCTCTGTTCAAAATTTATTAAAATTGTCATTGTTAAAAATTTATTAAAATTGTCACTGTCAAAAATTTATTAAAATTGTCACTGTCAAAAATTTATTAAAATTGTCACTGTTATAATTTATTGAAATTGTCACTGTCAAAATTTATTAAAATTGTGACTGTCAAAAATTTATTAAAATTATGACTGTCAAAATCGATTAAACTAATAACTGTCAAAATGTATTAAAATTGTGACTCAAAAATGAAAATTATAATTGTCAATATTTCTAAAAATTGTCCCCCATAAAAATTCCTTAAAATTGCAACAGCAAAACTTGACTATTAGAACCGATTAAACTTGCAACTACAAGACATTAAAACTACCGTCACTAAAAATAAAAATAATAAATATTTCAACCTTTAAAATTCACTAAAATTCTTATACTTTTATCTCTACCCCTCATTTACATAATTTGTACGACTATTTTTATCATCTTATTGTTACCATTCACCATCACCTCTTCTAACAATTTTATCTACGTTGTACATCGAATTTTTATGCGTCCCTAAAATTAGTACGGACATCCTGTACAAAGATAGATACATCGAGGGAAATGTTCGTGTGTCAGGTTACGAAGGTGTGGCAATGTCTATAAATCGTCTTAGGGGATGAAGCAAGGTATATGAAGGGTGGATGCTAAGGGTGTAAAACATATTGCGTGATCTGGGACACCCTATTATTGCCCTCTTGAAATTTTAATACAATCTTTCGGGCCGTGAGAGCCCCGGGAACTTTTCATAAAAACATCGATACGTCGGAATATCTGAAATTTAATGACTGCATTAAATAGTTTTCAGCTTCGTGAACATTACGAACTTTCCTCGCGAAGGGATAGTAGGTTTTAATCCACGGTTTTCGAAATTTTGCAATTTCCTTGTAAGTTGAGTTATGACTTTCAAAGTTATTTCATTTTGGGAACGCAATTTTAGCAAAAATTATTTAGATAGCTATTTGTGTTTAATAAACTTTTAGCAAATTTAAACATATTTCAAATGTTATATTGGGTTTATGAAATTCTTAGATATTTTCGTACGAGCAGTACATTTTTAGATATCTAGCTTTTTACATTTTAATATCTATAGGTTTCTAGATTTTAGAATTTTGAAATTACTATGTTAATCAAGATTTCAATATTTCTAGATTGTAATATCCCTAGTTTCCAAATTCCCTAGCTCTCAAATTCCCTAGTTCCTAAACTCCTTAGTTCCAAAATTCTCTAGTTTCCAAACTCCCTAGTTTCTAAATTCCCTATTTCCCAAATTCCCTAGTTCCCAAACTCCCTAGTTCCCAAATTCCCTATTTCCGAAACTCCCTAGTTCCCAAATTCCCTAATTCCCACATTCCTCAGTTTCCAAACTCCCTAGTTCCCAAATTCCCTACTTCCAAAACTCCCTAGTTCCCAAATTTCCAAAATCCCAAATTCCCTAGTTCCAACATTCCTCAGTTTCCAAACTCCCTAATTCCCAAATTCCCTAGCTCTCAAATTCCCTAGTTCCCAAACTCTCTAGTTCCCAAATTCCCTACTTCCAAAATCACCTAGTTCCCAAATTCCCTAAATCCCAAATTCCCTAAATCCCAAATTCTCTAAATCCCAAATTCCCTAAATCCCAAATTCCATAAATCCCAAATTCCCTAAATCCCAATACCCCAGTTTCCAATATCCCTAGTTCCAAAATATCCCTAAATCCAAAATCTACTTAGATCTCAAATATCCCTATATCCAAAACATCCTGAAATGCAAAATATTCCCACATCCTAATATCCCTAGTTCCAAAGTATCTCCAGATCCAAAATATCCCTTGATGACAATATCCCCAGATCCCAATATCCCTATAACCCAGCTATTTGTCCTTCAATAAACCCTTTTGCAAAAAAATTGGAACATATTTCAAAAGAAGACTAATATAGACGTCGCAAATATGTATTTTTTGAATTTAAATAGAGAGAATGAATTTTTAACTCGAAGTCGATTAACTGTTTTTTTTTTTTCAAGTTGAATGATTTGAATTTCTGACAGGTTCGCGTTATGATTAATTTAGCAGAAATATACATATAGCGTATATCCACGCGTGTACTTGACACGTGTGTACGTGAGTGCCCCACTTTACCCTAAAGCGTTCAAACTTTCGGCTATTAATAAATTTCTAGCAGGCAAATATCGCAAAATGAGGCTGATGGAAGATTGGAAATTTAGCGTTCGAAATATCCTCGAACCGGGTCGATTGAATGCGAAAAGCGAATTAACCGCGGAACAACGATAAATCCATCGCGAACGAGTGTTTCACGTTTCATCGCACCATTTTGTTCCAATTTCACTTTCGATCGACGACGTATCCTTCGAATTTATTTCCACGATAACAAACAACGAGAAAGGATTGATACAATGATCAATTTTTCGTTCCATTGCCGACCGAATTCCGGGCACGAGTTTCGTAAATAAATTTTTCACGTCGAACTTGCCGGCGAATTTCGAACGAGAAAGTTGGTTAGCAGAGGAAACTTTTCGTATTGGTGAACTTTCATATTTTCGTTTTATAGATATTTTGTTTTAAGTTGCTGCAACTTTTTTTTTGCTTTCCGATGCACTCGGCGCACTGTGTGTCAGTCCACAAAACTGTTAAAGGCTATACGTTTCACGCCACGTATATCGCATTTCTATACTAGTAACCTAGTTCGCTAGTCTGACCCAGTTAAGAGATTAATACCTGAAACTGGTGGAAAAATAGAAACGGAACGGCTTTCACGTTAATCAGCTACGCTTACGTGATCGAGTAAATAAAAATCGTTCTTCTTTTAATCAAACCGACACCGGAATCCGTATAGATTACCTATCTGCCGGTATTTCGACGGATATATAGCCAGAGGATCAATAATCGGACTTCTGTCAGGGTTGCTTTGAGATAGGACGGTGATTATCTTGAGTAGCTGATTTAAAGATTAGCTGAAATTACAACCCCTTCACGGTCGTCTTTCCACAATGTGCTAATTTATGACGACCAATTGCGAACTTTCACGATTTAATGTCTTTTCGGACTTTCATATGGGTTTCGTAGTTTGCGATTTTTCGGATTTTTGAAGGTTTTTGGGGATTTTAGGAGTGATGGATTTTTGGGAATTTTGGGATTTGGGAATTTTGGGACTTGGGAATTTTGGGATTTGGGAATTTGGGAATTTTGGGAATTTGGGAATTTTGGGAATTTTGGGAACTTTGAGATTTTGGGAATTTTGGGAACTTTGAGAGATTTGGTGAATTTTGGGAATTTGGGGATTTGGTGAATTTTGGGAATTTGGGAATTTTGGGAACTTTGAGATTTTGGGAATTTGGGAATTTTGGGAACTTTGAGATTTTGGGAATTTTGGGAACTTTGAGATTTTGGGAATTTGGGGATTTGGTAAATTTTGGCACTTTGGGAATTTTGGGATTTGAGAATATTGGGATTTGAGAATTTTGGGATTTGGGAATTTTGGAAATTTTGGGAATTTTGGAATTTTGGGAATTTGGGGACTTTGGGGATTTTGGAAATTTTGGGATTTGGAAATTTTTAGATTTAGGAATATTGGAATTTGGGAATTTTGGAATTTTGAAATTTTAGAATTTGGGAATTTGCGAATTTTGAAATTTGGGAATTTTGGAATTTGGGAATTTTGGAATTTTGGAATTTGGGAATTTTGGAATTTGGGAATTTGGGAATTTTGAAATTTTTGAAGAAATTTGGAACTTGGCAAATTTTAGAACTTTGGAATTTTTGAATTTTAAAGTTTTAGAATTTTTGAATTTCTGAGTTTGGATTTCTGATTCGAAATTTTTTGAATCTGGAAAATTTGGCGAATTTTGGGGAATTTGTCGAACCTCGAAAATTTTATGAGTTTTGGAATTTTAGAATTTAGGAAAATTGGGAAATATTTTGAATCTGGAAAATTTGGGGAATTTTTTGATTCTGGAGAATTTTGGAAGTTTTGAAATTTTAGAATTTTGAGAAATTGTCGGAATTTTGGAATTTGGGGAATTTTTGAACTTCAAGTTTTACAACTTAAATATTTTGTAACTTGAGTAGCAAAAATCACACCATAAAATCATTTACTCTCCTCCACATCTTTCTTTCAACAACCCCAAACTCTAAATAATCACTAAAATACTGAACTAGTTATTCATCTCACTATTAACCCCTTAACCCAAGACTTTAATCTTTAATCGTACAAATTATGACTGACATAGAAAACTTAATCACAGATCAAATACTATCATACAAAAATATATTTCTTACATTTCCATTTGAACTGTGATCACAAGCTTCTAAATGTCACAAGCCAAGTACTTTCCATTTTGGAATAACAGGAGTTAGAACAAAGAACCAAATAAAGGAATCAGAAAATAACAAATTAAGAAGTTAGAATGCACCATAAAAATGAACTAGTCAAATCTTAACTAATTAATAAAATAAATTAACATACCTCAGCCGGAAACGCGTGTCCATCAACAGTATGTTCGCTCCCAGTCCGATCATCCAATCCAAAGTGCAGATGTATCTCATGGAACTGATAACGATAACTGAGAGGTCCCCCAGAAATGTTAACCGGATGTCTAGTGTCGTTGTCCACCGCGAACACCACGCTATGACCAGTATTAGCGAGCACTCCTCCAACCCTGTGCTTGTCCAGGTTCAGGGGTTGCAGATTCGGGTCGAATAGCAACCTGGACGGCTCCAGGTTCACCGGTGATTGTCGTCTGCCCTTGTGACACAGCCACCATTCCGGATTGATGAGACCCCAGAAGCCAGGACCTTTCGAAGCGAGCCGATTAAACAGTCGAACGCGGCTTTCGAGCATCGATTAACGCGCCCCCCCTTGAGACTGCTAACAACTTCCAAACGAACTTTCCACCACGCTAAACCCGGGGATTAGCAGCCGGGGAGGCTATGAAATTATTCAAGAAGGGAAGCAACTTCGGGATCCGACGAGTTTATCAGTCGGAACGGGACACCTTTTCGGGGAAATGAAGGTTCAAATATGTGAGGGCATGTTTAAATTTCTGAACTGGTTTGTGCGTGGAATTAACACGCGTGGAGATACCACGCGAGGAGTTACCACGCGTGGAGATACCACGCGAGGAGTTACCACGCGTGGAATTGGCACGTATAGAATTTACCACGCGTAGAATTTACCACGCGTGGAGTTACCACGCGTAGAATTTACCACGCGTGGAATTACCACGCGTAGAATTTACCACGCGTGGAATTACCACGCGTAGAATTTACCACGCGTGGAATTACCACGCGTAGAATTTACCACGCGTGGAATTACCACGCGTAGAATTTACCACGCGTGGAATTACCACGCGTAGAATTTACCACGCGTGGAATTACCACGCGTAGAATTTACCACGCGTGGAATTACCACGCGTAGAATTTACCACGCGTGGAATTACCACGCGTAGAATTTACCACGCGTGGAATTACCACGCGTAGAATTTACCACGCGTGGAATTACCACGCGTAGAATTTACCACGCGTGGAATTACCACGCGTAGAATTTACCACGCGTGGAATTACCACGCGTAGAATTTACCACGCGTGGAATTACCACGCGTAGAATTTACCACGCGTGGAATTACCACGCGTAGAATTTACCACGCGTGGAATTACCACGCGTAGAATTTACCACGCGTGGAATTACCACGCGTAGAATTTACCACGCGTGGAATTACCACGCGTAGAATTTCCCATGCGTGGAGTCACCACGCGTAGAATTTACCACGCGTGGAATTACCACGCGTAGAATTTCCCATGCGTGGAGTCACCACGCGTAGAATTTCCCATGCGTGGAGTCACCACGCGTAGAATTTCCCATGCGTGGAGTCACCACGCGTAGAATTTCCCATGCGTGGAGTCACCACGCGTAGAATTTCCCATGCGTGGAGTCACCACGCGTAGAATTTCCCATGCGTGGAGTCACCACGCGTAGAATTTCCCATGCGTGGAGTCACCACGCGTAGAATTTCCCATGCGTGGAGTCACCACGCGTAGAATTTCCCATGCGTGGAGTCACCACGCGTAGAATTTCCCATGCGTGGAGTCACCACGCGTAGAATTTCCCATGCGTGGAGTCACCACGCGTAGAATTTCCCATGCGTGGAGTCACCACGCGTAGAATTTCCCATGCGTGGAGTCACCACGCGTAGAATTTCCCATGCGTGGAGTCACCACGCGTAGAATTTCCCATGCGTGGAGTCACCACGCGTAGAATTTCCCATGCGTGGAGTCACCACGCGTAGAATTTCCCATGCGTGGAGTCACCACGCGTAGAATTTCCCATGCGTGGAGTCACCACGCGTAGAATTTCCCATGCGTGGAGTCACCACGCGTAGAATTTCCCATGCGTGGAGTCACCACGCGTAGAATTTCCCATGCGTGGAGTCACCACGCGTAGAATTTCCCATGCGTGGAGTCACCACGCGTAGAATTTCCCATGCGTGGAGTCACCACGCGTAGAATTTCCCATGCGTGGAGTCACCACGCGTAGAATTTCCCATGCGTGGAGTCACCACGCGTAGAATTTCCCATGCGTGGAGTCACCACGCGTAGAATTTCCCATGCGTGGAGTCACCACGCGTAGAATTTCCCATGCGTGGAGTCACCACGCGTAGAATTTCCCATGCGTGGAGTCACCACGCGTAGAATTTCCCATGCGTGGAGTCACCACGCGTAGAATTTCCCATGCGTGGAGTCACCACGCGTAGAATTTCCCATGCGTGGAGTCACCACGCGTAGAATTTCCCATGCGTGGAGTCACCACGCGTAGAATTTCCCATGCGTGGAGTCACCACGCGTAGAATTTCCCATGCGTGGAGTCACCACGCGTAGAATTTCCCATGCGTGGAGTCACCACGCGTAGAATTTCCCATGCGTGGAGTCACCACGCGTAGAATTTACCACGCGTGGAATTACCACGCGTAGAATATACCACGCGTGGAATTACGACGCATAGAATTTACCACGCGTAGAATATACCACGCGTGGAATTACGACGCATAGAATTTACCACGCGTAGAATATACCACGCGTGGAATTACGACGCATAGAATTTACCACGCGTAGAATATACCACGCGTGGAATTACGACGCATAGAATTTACCACGCGTAGAATATACCACGCGTGGAATTACGACGCATAGAATTTACCACGCGTAGAATATACCACGCGTGGAATTACGACGCATAGAATTTACCACGCGTAGAATATACCACGCGTGGAATTACGACGCATAGAATTTACCACGCGTAGAATATACCACGCGTAGAATATACCACGCGTGGAATTACCACGCGTAGAATATACCACGCGTGGAATTACGACGCATAGAATTTACCACGCGTGGAATTACCATGCGTAGAATTTCCCATGCGTGGAGTCACCACGCGTAGAATTTCCCATGCGTGGAGTCACCACGCGTAGAATTTACCACGCGTGGAATTACCACGCGTAGAATTTCCCATGCGTGGAGTCACCATGCGTGGAGTCACCACGCGTAGAATCACCACGTGTAGAATTACCACGCATGGAGTGAAAACATTCTCTGCAAAAACATTCCTTGGGGGTGCTGATTGATTTTTGGGGAGTTGGGAAATTGGGACTTTTTAGAGATAGGGCAGTGTACGCTGTACATAGGATAGTATACTATGAAGGTGAAGTTTTTATAGTTGAAGGGGTAGTTTCTGATTTCGAGATGGTTCGAGAGGGTGCGATGTTACTCTAATTTTAGAGAAAAATAGATGGAAGGTGCAGAGAATTGGGAGTTGTATTTTTAGAGATAGCGAATGCACTGAAGGTAAAGATTTTATAGTTTTAGGGGTAGTTTTCAATTTCTTGATACTACACTATTGTCTAATATTACTCTGCTCGATTTTACAGAAAAATAAATGGAAAAGGGGTTACAGAAAATTAAGACATTTTTCCAAAAAGAATGAGATGCATAATGAAAATGAAGTTTTAACAAAATTTCAAAGGGGTAGTTTTTGATGTCCTACTACACTGTTGTCTAATACTCTGCTTCATTTTAAAGAAAAATAAAAGAGTCTACAGAAAATTGAGACCAATTCTTTTGCACACAGACACACTATGAAGGTAAAATTTTAACAGAGTGCCAGGGGTAGTTTTATTCCTCGATAGTACCCTACTCAATTTTAAAGAAGAATAAACAGTGAAAATGTTAGAAGAAATGGGGAGGTATTTTTTAGACGTCAGGTTGAAGATTATTTATATACAGTTTTCGAGGGTGCTTTTTTATTCCCTCCAGTGTCTGATGTTACCCAGCTTGATTTTAGAGAAAAATAAATAGAAAAGATGGTGGAGGAAATTGGGAGTTGTGTTTTCAGACATACTGTACGTGAGGGTGAAGATTGTTTGTATAGAATTTTAGGGGTTAGTTTTTTTATTCCTAGTGTCTGATGTTACTCTGCTTCATTTTAGAGGAAAATAAACAGAAAAGGTGGTGGAAGAAATTGGGATGTTTCTTAGGGTTGGTGAGGGAGATCGTTTTTATGGATTTTTAGGAGGGTGGTTTCTGACTTCTGGATAGTGTAGAACGTTTCTGTGGGATGCTAGATAAAATGGTAAAACGAATTTTTGGGGTTGCAGAAATTTAACTTAGATAAATTTAAAGAAACAAAAATATAAAAAACTATTTCCAAAATATCTAAATACTTTTATACTTTTATCTTATATTTGAATTTACAGTTCCTAAAAGGGGTTAAGAATGAAAAATATTATAAAAGTTTCCATATAGTATTTGTGGTTTTTTGAAACTGTAAAATATTATTTTAACATAAACAAATTTGTATAATGTATCCTATTTTTTTCTGAACATCGTAGAGGGATTTTTTCAAGCTTTCGAGAACATTGTTACTATAAAATGGTTATAAATAAAAGAAGCTAGTTTCCTACAATAACTTCATAAATATTGTAGCAGCCAGGGGTTGAAAATCATTTACATTTCCTGTTAGCGTATTACATTTTTTGTTAGTGCACGCTTTAATAATACAACTCCGTATGAACTTGTATTTCATGAATATCGTAAGGGTGAAAGGATGAAGATCGTTTTTCTAAATTTTTGAGAGGGTAGTTTTACTTTTCCTAGAGTAACATATTTAATCATAGAAGAAGCTAGTTTCCAGTGGTCGGAACATGTTTTTCATGCATATTGCAGGAGTCAGGGGATGAAAATCGTTTTTCTAAGTTTTTTAGAGGGTAGCTTATTTGCGTAAAATGTCTGCAGTTATGGAACTTATTTTGTATATATATTACAGTATATTAAAATTTCTTAATATTAGGGTTCCTGCAAAATACTCGAGAATAAAATAAGCTTGAAATTTGAGGTTTTATAAATGTAGGTATGAAACAAGGATTTTTTAAATTTTGAAGGGGTAGTTTTTGACTTGTGCAAGGTGGTTAACAATATAATTAAGCTTCCTTTTAACGAACACCCCTACCATACATCCATAAACAACCCTACCCATATTACCAACGATTAGTTAAAAGCCTGTCAGAACCACGCGTGAATTTACGACGCATGGAATTACCATGCGAAGAATTACCACGCGTAGAATTACCACGCATGGAATTACCACGCATGGAGTTACCACGCGTGGAGATACCACGCGTAGAATTTACCACGCGTGGAGTTACCACGCGTAGAATTTACCACACGTGGAAATACCACGCGTAGAGTTACTACGCGTAGAATATACCACGCGTGGAGTTACCATGCGTAGAATTACCACGCGTAGAACTTACCATGCGTGGAGTTACCACGCGTAGAATTTACCACGCGTGGAAATACCACGCGTAGAATTTACCACGCGTAGAATTTACCACGCATAGAGTTACCATGCGTAGAATTACCACGCGTAGAATGTACCATGCGTGGAGTTACCACGCGTAGAATTTACCACGCGTGGAATTGCCACGCATAGAATTTACCACGCGTAGAATTTATCATGCGTGGAATTACTACGCGTAGAATTTACCATGCGTGGAGTTACCACGCGTGGAACTACCACGCGTGGAATTTACCACGCGTAGAATTTCCCATGTGTGGAACTACCACGCGTGGAATTACCACGTATCGAATCACCACGCATGGAATTTACCACGCGTGGACTAAAAACATTCTCTGCAATCTTTCTTTGCACCTAACTGCCTACTCGCCCCTAACAGTACCTGCACCTAACAGTACTTGCACTTAGCCCAGCAGCTCTCCGTACACCACCTCATACGATTACAATTAACAAAAAATAAACTTGAACGATCATGGGGTCCCTTACCGGAAATACCATCATAGGTCCACCATTCCTCCCAGCTGACGGGCCTAGATTCTGCAAATAGTTCATTATCAAGAATCCGTGGTACGTCATTTACGAGACAGCAGTCCTTAACCCAGAACCAGTTGCCGCAAGTCAAGTGGCAAGGATATTCGGCCACACTTCACCGAATAACGAGCTACTCGTCTCAATTATACACTTTCTTGCTACAGTCCGCTCGTAAGCAATTGGCCCACTCAAGGTCATCTTCCACTTTTAGACAATATCAACCGAGTGATCCTCTCTTTAACCTTCTTTCTTTGTGCTTTTCGGGACGTGCGTCATCAAGATACTTTTATCCTTTTAGCAGGATTAAAAGTTATTTTAAACTCGCGGAATTCTGCAGCTTTATGGACTCTTCAAATTGTTAGAGACATTTTGTGGATCCTTATACAGTAGACTCTCGTTATATTGTCACTTTTATAAGACTCTAAAATGCAGCTAAATCATAGTCCTAGCGAATTTCAGTAAATACTCACGTTTTATGGCATTGTGACAAATTAGTATTACACGTACTGTATGGATCATTCTTTAGGTTACTGCGTTGAATTCCCACGCGTCAAATTAAGCGTGCGTTGAAACACCCCTGGTAGAATGAACTATGCGTTGAATTACTATAGGTAGACCGTGCGTAGAATAGACCACAGTGTTGAATTGCCACGAACGGATACAGTACCCATACTTATTAGGTATTGAATTACGCATGGCAACACGTTGCGTCACGTGTTGTATTACCATGCGTGAGATTACTACGGGTAGAATTACGCGCTGAATAGCTACGTATTGAATTACTACGCGCTGAATAGCCACGTATCGAATTACCACGCGTTGAGTTATCTGACGTATCGCATTACCATGCGTTGAGTTATCTCATGTAAAAAATACCAAGCGTTGAATTTACCTCGTGTCGAATTACTGCGTGTGGGATTACCATGCGAGGAATTTACCATTCATAGAAATTACCACGCGTGGAGTTATCACGCGTAGAATTTACCACGCGCGGAGTTACCACGCGTAGAATTACCATGTGTAGAATTACCACGCGTAGAATTTATCACGCGTGGAGTTACCACGCGTATAATTTACCACGCGTGGAGTTACCACGCGTAGAATTACCACGCATAGAATTTACCACGTGTGGAGGTACCACGCGTAGAATTACCACGCGTAGAATTACCACGCATAGAATTTACCACGTGTGGAGTTACCACGCGTAGAATTTACCACGCATAGAATTACCACGCGTAGAATTTAGCACGCGTGGAGTTACCACGCGTAGAATTTACCACGCATAGAATTACCACGCGTAGAATTTAGCACGCGTGGAGTTACCACGCGTAGAATTACCACGCGTCGAATTTGCCATGCGTAGAACTATCAAGCGTGGAATCACCACGCGTAGAATTATGACGCGTAGAAACACCACGCGTGGAATTAACCACGCGTAGAATTACCACGCGTGGTATCACCACTCATGGAATTTACCACGCCTAGAGTTCCCCACGCGTAGAATTACCACGCATTGACGTTCCACGCGTAGAATCACCACGCACTCAATTTCTACCCCTAAAATTCCAACGCACAGAATTAACCACGTCATGAACTACCCCATAGAACGAACCCCACACAGAATCACTGCATAACCTACTACCTCGGGCCTAATTTCTCGTAGAATGACCACATATTACATCTCAGTGTAATATTACGCGTGAAATTACCTCAGTAATACCACACCTGCAATTACCCGTCTACATAGCCATAAGCGAGAATATAATCAGTGTCCACTGTGGTATAAAATACCGATAAGGAGCCACAAATTCCTCCACTGATATCCTCCAGAGTGTCCAATTACGTTCGAGCAGACTGTATCTAGGTTCGATCAAGCCACAGCTGCACTACCGGGAAAAGGGTTAAGAATCACTGTGACAAGAGAGGGCAACATGAACGGTACCTTGTATCAAAACGATCACGAAGACTCCCCAGACGCCCAGGAAGACGGAACTGAATGGGGCCATTCCTAGCGGTGCTCGATCTTCGTCAATTGGGCATCATTCGGCTCAATTCTACGGGACAAAAAGAAACGAGAAGCTGAATACTGGTCTCTCGAGGACACGTGTTCGAGCCACGTGGTTCGTAAGTTCGTCACCGTACTTTAAAATCGATCAGCCGCGAAAGACACAGGGCAGTATGGGCAAACTCCCGTGGAAGTTTCGCGTCGCGAAGAGAAAGAACAAGTTCCGTAGGAATGAAACGACGAGTGGGCACGATCGATCGACGAGAGCACGCAGGAATGCCAGGACGAGCAGACTTTTAATTAGGAACGGTCACGCGAACCTGTTCGACCGTAGGATCGCAACAGTACTCGCGTCGGGCTACTGAACCTAGGCCAACCGGACTTAACTCGAGGCCGACATGTGTAGCCACCGATAAGGGGTAACTCTTCTGGAAGAAAGAAAAGACAAATCTGCAGTCATCTTTGTCGTGGAGGACGCTCGAAAGGGGGCGGGGTTCCTCCTCGACTACCCCCTCCCCTACGGCCCATTCTGTGTTCAAGTCCACTCCACCCCGTTCCACGGCACCGCTGTATTCTTAGGTCAGGAAAACTCGAGAGACCCTTCGATAGTCGATCGATCGATGCGATCTTTGTGGGTATCGTAGCCGCGGATCGGAAGAACGCGGCGAGTGTCTCTAACCTACACCGTCGTCCGGAGATAAGGGCACTCCGAGTGCGATGACTCGGCTCTCACCATCCGCTCCCTCGTTTTTCTTTCGCCGTTCCGTCACGTTTCTTACTCGAATTCGAGCGTCTAGCCACCTCGTGCAAATTGCTTCTTTCGTTTACCCGGCTTTGACGAATCTCGCGTGAACGAGTGCGAAACGCGTCTAGTCGGCTCGCTTTTTAATTAGACCCGATTCGGGACCAGCGGATCGATCTCATCGGATTTATTACGAACTTTCGCCGTCCCTGCCTCGTCGACGGTGTGTCTAATCGACCGAGAACGCACCGTCGAGCCTTCCTCTCTGTTCGATCGCTCCACTCGAAAGCAATTATCGAACCCGGAGGATTTTCGGTTCCGATGGAGCTTCAATCGCGCTCGAGACAGCATCGTTTGATTCTCCGTCGCTTTAGAGCCTCCTCCTGACACTCTAGGGACTTTCGACTGCTCTTTCCCGCACGAATTTTAACCCGGAGATTTCGAACGATGATTCCGTCTTACCCCTAGCAGAGTGCAACGACTCGACTCACGGTTCCCGCTCCTGCGTCGACTCGTCCCATGGACACCGTCTAAATTTGCTCCGCGCAGTTCGATCCTTAATCCTTCTACCTATTCTGATCGTCTAGGGTAGAATTAACACCGATCCGAAGGTACACATCGAAGCCCGTACACACACTCGCGTATAACGCACACGTCCCGAGGTGTCCTGTCGACCGAATTACGGAGTCGGTCCCGTTCGATCGAGACGGTCCCCCATAAGAAGGATGATAGTTCCCGGCTGTAGCGAACGACGTGACCCCGATCGAATCCTCGCTGGCCTGGCCTGACCAGGAGTCGCGCGAACGTAACGGAAGCGGAAAAAGCGCGAACGAGCCGCCAGGAGGAGAGACAGAGGCGAGCCGCGTAGGGTCGGTCGGCCGCGAGCGACTGGTGGGAGAGGACGAGCGTGCGAATCGATCGGCAAAACGCGCGATGCGATGGTGCGGCCAAAATTTCGCGTGACAGGTAAACGGGTATGGCTCCTGCGCGAAATCAATAAACGGCGATCGACGGAGGAACCGAACCGACCGGACAGACAAATCCTGGCACACCGGAAACCGACTGGCCCGACCACCAGCCGGAACCGTTTTCTTACGGCCGATACTGACCGTGGACGACGAAAAGGACCACGTCGCTTTGCTTCTTCTTCTTCTTCTTCTTCTTCTTCTTCCACCTCCTTCGACCTCCTCCTCCTCCTCTCGCTTCTTCGCCGGCGGCACACCACTCGGGCACCACTTGTACGTTACGCGAGCAGACACCACCGAATCCCGGAACACGCGAGCCAGTCGATGCGCCTCCGTCAACGGCACCAGCCTGATGACCAACCGAACGCGACCTAAACGAACGCTCGTCTTTTTTTTGCGCCCTGTCGGGATACACCGAATAATTTGGTTAAAAAGCGGTCTGCGCCTTGCGAAGGAACGACGAAGGAGGAACGACTGCCCTATGAGACCAGTGTATACGTTCCTCCTGCTCCCTCCGTCGCACCCTCTCCGTCCCTCCCGTCACCAGCCGATCCGTACTCCATCTAGATCTCTGTCAGCCGTGTTCCGGAGGCTGGTGACGCGCACGCGCGACCGCGTATCCTTTTCTCTCGCTCTTCCACCCTTCGTGCGCGGGCTAACTCCAGCTCGCTCTATCAAACGCCCTGGCCCTCCTCGGCCAGAGAGCCACATCGATGCTTCCGGACACGGGCAACCAGCGTTTCGCGCCTCCACGCGCGCTTCCTACGACCACGGCCATCCTCGTCCACCGACAGGACGTCTGCGCACTTCCAGGACGAGCCAAGGATGGTGCCTCCGAAGGGACGGAGCACCTGTGCGCGATCACCGTCATGCCACCAACGTTCTTACCAGACTTTTATTTATTTTTCGAATACCAACTTATGGGGAATTACGGAGGGGGTGATTGTCGGAGGTTAACGAGGTATTAGATACGAAACTTCCTAATGAATCGGTTATGTACTTAACGTGGGATACCTATTTTCGGAATTACTTTTATTGTGTATTCGACGCTGAATTTCGGGTTTTTGGGGATTATGGGGCTCTCGAATTGAACTGATTTGCTGATGTTATGTACTTGGAGTTAGGTTATTATGTAGTGAAATAATTGGACCCTTTCGCGAGATAGCTGTTTAGGTTTTTGGTATAAATTGCTTTCCTTCATTGAACGATACGATATACCTTAAATGTGATACAAGCTTCTGAAATTGACATAGAAATTTGGGACTCGGTTTGAAATTTTTGCATTTAGAACTCGAAGCTAAATTTTTAAACGGCAAACCAGCCCAATCGCAGTAACGCTCGACATTCGTACTTTGAACAATTACCGTGCCCGATAAAATTCATCAGTCCTTTTTTAACCGTTTTGAAATAATCACAGATTCCCTTTGACGAAGTTAAATTGCTTGCACGAGACTTTTTGCCCTAGCCTTTGAGGGCAATGCCTCTGACATAGTTTATCCCAGAATCTGGCCGAACGTACTGTTTCAACCTTGTTTGCAATAATTAGCAATTTGACCGTTCAATTTAAGTTCCCCGGTACGTACCTGCTTGAAGTAATTAGCAACGTTATCGATAAAATCAATGGAGTCGTTTTTTTGTTTCGCCCTCCCGTTTCAAACGGCGAAGTTAGGATGATCGGAAGCCCGAAGCTGGAGCTAGAGCTTGAAACAATTAACAACCTTGCTGTTAAATTTAGCCAGCTATTTTCTATTCCGCCTCTCATGTCGGCACAAAGGATTTTGAATAATTAACCGGGCTGATCGAACGTAGCCGGTTGAATTTCATTCTGAAACTGAAGGTCCAAGGTGATCAGGGAAACAGTCACCTCGATGTAGTTTTCGTGCTCGGTTTAAGTTGGCCAGCTTCCACTTATTGTGTCACGGCTGTTGCTGTTCGACGACGTTCGAACAGTCGGCTGATTAATTCGATCAATCATCCAACGTCATCCCCTAGATGCAATTACTTGCCTCTTTAATAGAACCTTTTAATCTAAGGGTTAGAGCATTCGAGGCACTTTTGGGATTTTTATTATTAAGGCTCAGATATTTGGCAGAATATTAAGGCTCAGATGTTTGGGAGATTTAAGCAATGTTATATGGACTCTTCAGATATTTTTAGTATACAAGATTTTTCCAATAACTTGCTACTATATGAAATTTATCAAATGTTCAAAGACAAAACGAGGTTTGCTAAATGTTACCTCAGATACTATATGAACTCTACCTGTATGAATATTACTATAGAATACCCTGCAATATCACTGCATGTTTATCAAATATTCACACAGATAGGTCAAACATCCCCATACAAAATATAGCAAGCTAGCAGAACCTAACACAAATGATTAACCAGCTGACCACAAGTTCCATCAAATATTATCATAATTAATCAGCCAACCCCGAACTAAAATTGCTTCTCCAGATTTTTCTATTGTTCAAGGACATGTTCCAAGGCCACCAGTTAGAATTCTAGTGTTTCTCTGCACGGAGAATCGGAGGAACGAGGCCTGGAAAGCAGCGTTTCGGGCAATGCCGCTTTGAAAATCGATAAGCGGCTCCGCGTAGTCGACCAGTCAGGAGCTTTTCGGTGTATCCGTGCCGGAGATCCTGCCTGGTCACGTGGCGCTGCTTACGTTCGCGAAACACCATCGGCTTAAAATTACACCCTATCGTCGATCAACCCCTTTTCAAAAGATGAAGTCACTCGCGACTAACATTAAGCTTCTACTTAACAATTTAGGGAGACCAAATGACAGCTGCCTGAGAGCTTTCGGGAAATCTGTTAAAAATTGATCGGGAGCTTTCACGTTCATACGTATTTATTAACCGGAGATGCTATTTAGAACTAAATTCGAAAATAGGCTTTTAATATTGATACAATTATTGGTTCATTGATGGTGAAGATGTCTCGAGGTTAAATCTTAAAATAGTTTTTTAATACGTCTGAAATAATTAGAACAAAACATGAAATAATTAGAACAAAATTTAGAAAATAATGTAGGTGCTGTGAATTTAAAATTGATACACTTATTATTGGTATACTGATGTTTTTGAGGTTGTATCAAGATCTCAAAATCTTAAAATAGTTTTTTAATATATCTGAAGTTATTAGAACAAAATTTAGAAAATAATGTAGGTGCTGTGAATTTAATATTGATACAATTATTATTGCTATACTGATGTTTTTGAGACTCCATCAAAATCTCAAAATCTTAAAAAATTTTTTTAATATATCTGAAATTATTAGAACAAAATTTAGAAAATAATGTAGGTGCTGTAAATTTAAAATTGATACAATTATTAT